TAATGCACCCACCATCATTCAGAATGGCAATGATAAGAACCATGAATGGAGCAAAGTCGAATTTCCATATGAGAGCAAGTAGCATAAAGCCGAGCTAGAAAGATAAACAGTGGTCAGTGACGCCTGAGCAGCATCATATATGTAAAATGTAACTTACCACTATACGGATTGTGATCGACACGGCATAAATCTGTGGAGACAGCTTATAGTTTAGAGAAGTAAAGACGTTGCAACGCTGCTTACCGTGTAGTTTTTCATACGCTGGAAGATAGCACGGCTGGTAAGAACAGCACTGATAATCACACTAAGGCCGGGCTCAGTTAGAACAATATCAGATGCACTCCTTGCCGCGTCAGTAGCATCTGCTACAGCAATACCAATGTCTGCCTTCTTTAACGCAGGAGCGTCGTTCACACCATCGCCAGTCATACCGCAGATATGCTTCTTTTCTTGCAGCTTCTTCACAATTTCATACTTGTGTTCTAGACACAGAAGGAAACCATAAGCACGAGTCTTCTCAAGTGCCAAACGAAAAGTTTACCTGGGAATACTCCAGCAAAACCATCAGCTTTTTCAATCAGCTCCTCAACCGGAAGCGCAGCAAGATTCTCATCTTTGTGGTTTCCAAGCAGCGAAGAAGATGGATACATGTTTGTCCCCATCCCAAGACGGCGACCAGTTTCCTTCGCAATTGCCAATTGATCACCTAGAGAAAACGAAAGCTCACTTTAGGCACTCACAAGTGACAGGGAAGTCTCACCTGTGATCATTTTAACGTTTACACCAAGATTCAAAGCCCGGCGAATGGTTTCAGCGCTGTCGTGACGGGGAGGGTCAAAGAGAGGCATCAGTCCACAAAACCTCCATGGTCCTCCCGGACTTTCCTTGTTCTTCTCGGGTACGTCCTATGAATACAAAACTTTGTAAGGAACTAGTCTCTTAGGACAAAAAAGAGTGCCAGACCTGTATGGCAACGGCAAGAGAACGAAGCCCTCGCTCAGCGAACTTGTCGATGATGGAGTGAACCTTGTCTGCTATTTCGGACTTATTGTGAGCCAAGGCGAGAATCTTCACAAGCAAACATAGCTTTAGCCAAATCAGAAAGCAAAAGAGAATACTAGGTTGTTCGAACCTGCTCAGGAGCTCCTTTACTTGCTCTGTGCCATTTTCCATCGGAGTCAATGTAGGTGAGTGCTGTCCTCTTGTCCACAGGATTGAAAGGCAGAAAGTGCACTTCCGTGACATTAGCCCGAGCCTGTCACACTCATTCCAGTTGCTTCAAACTTTAAACAGCGGGAGCCACAGACCTCTTTAGGATCCGCAAGCATTCCAACAATGGCCGTGTCTATTGCATCCTGGTTCTCAGTTCGAGACGCTCTCGCAGCCAACAACACTACCATTTCCTTGTCCACTCCTTTCGTAAACACCTGAAAATATAATAATGCGCACTATGAGAATCTCTGAGCACTTAAAAAACTGATGTCAAGTCACTCGCCTCGATAAGGTTTTTGTCGACTGTGAGTTTGTTCAGTGTCAATGTACCCGTCTTATCACTGCACAGGACATCCATTCCAGCCATTTCTTCGATAGCAGTCATGCGCTTTGTAATAGCTCCCTGTATTTCCATAGAATTGTTTAGGAACGTCAAATACAAAGAATGAAAACTCAAACTTCTTTTAACGAACCTGTGTCGACAGGCGGTGAGAACCAATAGCCATGGTAACAGACAAAACCGTCGGCATTGCAATTGGAATCCCACCAATGAGCAACACAAGCAAATTGTTGATGCCATCGCGATACTTCCTCCTCTGGATTGGATACATGACGATGATCTCGATCACCATTCCAATGGCAATGGAGCAGATGCAAAAGTTTCCAATCGCAGTGAGCACCTTCAAGCAGCAGCCACAAGGAGTAAGATCCAACTTCCCGTGCAGAGACGCAGAAAAGACTTTTTTACCTTTTGAAAGTGGCCAACTTGGTTAGTGGTGTCAACTAAATGCGCGGCCTTCCCGAAGAAGGTATGGACTCCCGTGGCAATCACAACCGCCTCAATCTCTCCTTGCTTGCACGTCGATCCAGAGAAGACCTCATCACCTGGATTCTTGGTCACTGGGAGCGATTCTCCAGTCAGTGCCGACTGAATAATATCGAGTGTTAGAATCGTTCTTGAGCGACAGGAAAAACTTGCCATATCAGCGATAAGATATGATCAGACCTGGTCAATCTTCAGCGGATCACCATGGAGCAGCCTCGCGTCAGCTGGGATGATATCACCGAGCTTGATGCTGATGATATCACCGGGAACTAAGATCTGAGCGTCTTGCTCCTGCCACTTGCCGTCCCTCAACACCTATAGGAAAACACCAACGTTCTTTCAGCTCCTGACTGAAACTCGAGAACGTTACAAGGCAGCGAACAAAGATACCTTGGTTTTTGGAGCTAGCCGCGCCATTAGAGCGGCCGCGGCGTTCCCCGCATTGTTCTCCTCGATGAAAGAGATGGTGGAATTTATCACGAGGAGGATGACTATTCCCACAAAGTCTTCCCAGTCCGGCGGCTCTCCCTATTAGTAACAAGTAAGAGCGAGGAGTCAACCAAGAGAGCCGAGAATAAAAAGTTGAAGTCCCTTACGTCTCCATTCGCAAGAACAATCGCCATGATAGCAGCCGCCTCCATGACCCAAGAGAGAGGATTCCACATAAATCCCAAGAACTTGAGGAATTTGCTCTCCTGGAGTAGCAAGGCAATGGAAATGAGCACCATGCAGGCAAAGATCGATCCATCGATCGCACCTTTTTCTCCTCGAGCTTGTTGTAGCCGAAGATCTTGAGCCGATTCTCTCCCTCGGTGCTGGTGAGACCAACCTCGGTACATTTGAGCTGCTGGAACACCTCCTCCACTGGAATTCGCTCCTGGAATCCCACCGATTGAGCGTTAGCGCTTGAAATTTCGAGCCAAGAACAGCGCCGCTCACCAGATCGACGTTCTCGTCAAGAACAAGCCCCTTGCCATCGGCCGCCATGGTGTCTCTCCCGATCGGCGAAAAGCCCCCTCGCGGCAGGGATTCCCTACGCCGATCCGTCACTCATCCAGCTGCAAATCGCGCGACGCGGAATTAGAATCACAGCAAGACCATCGCCACGAAGAATATGAAAAGACACACACAAGAAAATCGATCAAGAAAAACCTTGGAGCTCTCCACCGGGAGAGAAAGAAAGAAAGAACTATAGCCTAGGTAGAAATGTTTTTTGGGGGAACCTATCAATATAAGTATAAATATGGAATCGATCGAGCAATGAGCAAGTAAAGACGAGAAAAATGGCTCGAGAGGCGACTGGCGAGTGGAAGACGTTGCTATCGCGGCGCAAGAAAAAAAAGCATCGATCCAAATCGATCAAAGGGGTGAGCTTTGTTAGCCTAAACAAGGAGCCAAGAAATATTTGCCTGTGGTTCTATAATTCACCAGAGCTGCGCCGGTTGGAGCACGTAAGTTCTCGCGCGAGGCGTCGAAAAAGAGGACTGGACCGCTTGGGGCGGGGCTAGCCGGGGTTTTTATACCTGGGCTACAGGAACACGACGACTGTGGAGGCCCAAGTGGCCCAATGGAAGGAAACCGGGAGCAAGTTTTAATTTTGGGGGGAGATTTTTCTTTTTCCTTTCGTGGCAGGCTCTATAGAGTGGACCGCGAATTATTTTTCGCAGATGGAACCTTGGATACGACGACTTAAAACCCGGAGAGACCGCTTTACTTTATACAACAGGGGATGACCTCTTGACACTATTTGCCGCATATTGGGATTTGCTAAAGGTGGTTGACGCATGCATTGTGAAACTATTAGGTTAATGGATTAGTATTAGGCACAAGCCAAAGGTTGTGTCTTTTGTGGGGGGACATAAGTTGGCGGCATGGTCTGTGGAATCAGATAGTAAACAAAGGGTTTTTAAAGGTTGTAGCAAATGCCGCGGCGCGGTAAAGGAAATAGAGGTGGGAAAAGATTTGATCCAACGGCCGTCGACTTTTCCATCCCTATCGTTTTCTGGAACCTTTGAATTTGCGGTGACGGATATTCTCTACCCCTCCAAACGAGATTCGATTGCCCTTCTCGTCAACTCTGGGCTGCATACGTGTATATTTTATATGCTTTTGATTTTTTGCGTTTTCTTTTCTTTTTTCTACTTGGGACGATTATGATTGATGATAACATGCTCCCCAGTGAGCTTGAAAAGTGGGACTATCAAAATATCAAAATGCGAGAGATCGACCAAGGCGGCGTACTAGAGGGCGTTGGAATCTCGGGGCGAATCTATAGAGCCAACTTTGCTTTCGATTTCAATGCCAGCCTTTCCTTTTCGCAGTTGTGGGTGGATTCACGGACGGGTGCGGCTGCGTTCGGGCAGCTTCCAGCCCTGGACCAGCTAAAATCTTCCCCTGGAATCTTCCCGGAATCTCCCTGGCTTGCAAGGCTCTTTGGTTGGTTAAACAACTCCCTAAAGCCCTATCATTGACAACGAAAGATGCCCCATTCCCTTGACAATCAAACAAAACCGGAAGATCACGTAGTTTAATCGTATCAGAACTTAGCACGTTCGAATCCAACGAGAATCTCCACGCGACACATACAGACATTCAAAGACAAGCAAGCTCCTGTGATGAATCGATCCCAAAACAAAAGCTTGAGAGCGCAAAACTGTCCATTGGCTTTGTCAAATTGTGCAGCGCCCTTGTGTGCACGGAACCGTCAATGAGAGAAAGAGTGACCATCTTTTCATTCCAATGGCTGGACATGGTTGACTAGAGACGAAACCACTCGTCACGGGCTCGATTACCTGTCCCGGCAATGTCTCCCAAAAGTCAACACGCTGAGCCCTATTTTCTCGAAAATTCCACGACTCGCAAATGGTTAAAAACCGGGTTATTGTCAACGGAAGTCAATCTAAACCTAAATTCTAGAGCCCTAGAAATGATATACTTTAAAATTTAGGGTTCTTGGGGAAGAAATGGAGGAGCTCCTGGCGCCTCTGCTATGCGGCATCGACTACGCCCATGGAGGAGGCAAGACAATGCCGCTCACCACGCCCGATCTCCAGCTCCTGTCAGAGAGGATGCAGGTACGCGCGGAGGAGATGAAGGATCGCGTCTTCGCCACCGTGAAGAGCCGCTACAGCAAGATTACGGAGCTCGCTCGCCGCGCTAGCACTGCCGCATTGGATGTAGAGACCGTGGATTCCCAGCTCCGGGCTCTCCTGGACGATTCATCGCTCCGGATCGGGGATACTTCTTTCGATTCCAAGCTGTGGAAGCTCTCGGCGGAGGTAAAGGGGATCAGGAGTGAGCTGAGGGTGAAAACATCGGCTTTGGCCGTGGTGAAATCCACCGTCGAGGTCCGTGATCGCTTGCTAGCTGGGAAAGAGCTCTTCGATGGAGGCCAAATTCTAAGCGGTGCGAGGAAAATCGCCGAAGTGAAGGGAATCGTCGACGATGATGACGAAGATACGCTTTTGATGCATGAACTTCTCAAGCAGCTGTTATCAGGGATTTATTCCGAGGTATGTCTCCTTTCAGGTTTATTTTTTCATTCTTCTTTTCTTTTTTCCCAGGTGGATTTTCTACTTGCAGGCTTATGTTCCAAAGTTGTCTCCGTGAATTTTACTGAAGGAATATTGGCTGTGAACTTTGTGACAGTTGCGGGATCTCGACATAACTTTGTGGCAATACTGGAGACAATGGAGGTAGCTATCTTGAAATCCAGGTTTGCGTTTTCACTGAGTTTCTCTTGACAGGTACTTGGACTCCTCGATGGCTTCCTTGGTCGTTTCACAGATAATTTGTGTAAGCTGTTGGCTCTCTTAGTCCACTCTGCTACTGTCGTGAGAGTGGAGCAAGACAGTGACCGTGCAGTACTAAGGATCACTAGAGACGAGAATGCAAGAGTAAGTTTCTCCTTTTTGTGTTTGTGATGATGTGTTAGTCTGTGATTTTTGTGAATTCCATTGAAACCAGGTAAATCAATCATCTATAGAAGGCGTTTATAAAGAAGTACTGGACTTTGTAAAGTTTATCAACGAGCATCTTTTACACCGCCAGAAAGTATGGATGCTAAAGCTGGGCAGGTCGATTTGGCCAAGGCTTGCCGATATGATAATCCAGAATCACTTACGCAAGGTTACAGTATTTTTGGTGGTCCTGGTGGAGACTGACCTTTTGGATTGTGTTGCAGGCAATTCCTGCCGATCATACACAGTTCCAACATTTTGAACAGATTCAAATCCTTACGTCAGAATTCGAAGAAGCTCTCGAAGCCGAAAACTTTGTCAGTGTGGACGACGAAGGTGGACTACTTAGCAACTTCACAGCCGATGTCGAGATTCATTTTTCTGCGAACAAAAGAAAAGATTTGCTGGCTAAAGCTCGAGACATTATCATGCGTTTTGATTATCGGTTGCTTCTGGTAAGTTCATTCACTACTTTCGTATGGCTAATGTCCGTCCAGGATATGGCAGCAGAGAGGGAGGAGAAAGACCGACTTATTTTTAGGGAAGACAAGTATGTTGTATCCTACCTTCCAAAACAGCTTTTACCCATTGTACAGGATACATTGAAGGTATACTTTTACATTCTCTTCTTAAAACAGTGCTTTGTTGTAGGATGCTTGCTCATCGACACCAAGACTAGCTTTGGAGCTTTATAAAGTCGCCCGAGACATTGTGCTGCTCTACCGAGCAATTGTTCCTTCTCAGGTCTTGGTGTCTGACAAATCCTCAGTGAAAGCAGCACCAGTATTTTACAATGACTGCCTCTACATTGCAAATGAGTTGACGACTTACTCCCAGCAGGTTTGTGGACCTCAAGAGTATCCAGTTTCTTACGCTCTGTGATCTGCAGTATAGCTCGTCACTGCCTGTCGATCTGCAACAGTCATGCACTTTGATGGACCTCGTTTCGGTGTTTCAATCCATGGGATACAATATGCTTTCAACACATGTTAAGCTGATAAACAATCAGCTCCTGCAGGTTTGTAAAAGAAAAAAAAAATGCTATTCAGCTTTACAGAAATGTCTTGCTTGTAGGCTCTAGACAGTGCTAATGGATTCAAATCGACGGATGAGAGAAGAGGCCGTGAAAGGGCGCAGTCTGCACTGCAACAGGTACCGTTTCTGTCAAAGATAAACTTTGCTGGAACTTCCTTTAGCAGGTTGTATCAATCTTTAGATCTACGCACAACGTCTGGCAAGAATTTCTACCCAGCAGTTTTCAAGTGAAGCAGTTGACAATGCTGGCTGATTCACTTGTCAGCAGAATTGTTTTTGAAGTTCTGTCTATCAAAGACATGGCTGCCGAAGAAACTGTTCAGGTAAACAAAGTCTGGGTGGTGTAATCAGTTTTACAATCACTTGATCCAGTTGCACAACTTACTGGACGAGCTGATACTGGACTTGGGCTCGGTGCTGGCTTCTGTCGAGAAACATAGTAGGAAATCACTCGACATCCTTGTACCGTCGTGGAGAAAACTAAAACGCTTATCTGGTAACGCCAGTTTTTCTCGTCTTGGCTGACATGGGGAAACTTGTTCCAGAGTTATTGGAGATGTCCTTGAGGCCCATCACGAAAGCATGGGAGAGTGGAATTCTCCCGTCGGCAGGATTCTCGCCAGCCGAGGTGGGTGTAGTATGGAGTTCTCTTAAAGAGATATTTGGTCTTTCGGTCAGGTCCAGAGCTTGATCAAGGCGATATTCACGGACACCTCGTTGAGAGCGGAGTGCCTTGAAAGAATAGTTTGATGTTCCTTTGCCGGCCAAATTTCCAAACAGTTTTGTGATATTTTCTTTCAGCGAGAAGCAGCTACTCGGGTGAGTGTTTTGCTGGTCGAAACTTTTTCTCCAGTTGCCTTTTCTTTTTTCATGCCTTTTCTAGTTGCGAAACACAATTCTGGCAAATCTTTTTTTTTTTTTTGGCGTACATTCACGAGTTCGTGATCAATGCAAAACAAAAGCAAACGCGACTCTTTGTGCTTTAAAGGGCACGATATAAAAGTTGATATCAAGCTCACGAAAAATCATCAAGACAGATGACTTTATAAGCCATTGGCTTAGTGAAAAATTGAAGAAACTTTATAATACTTTTCCTCCTCTAGGAAAAATGTTACCAGCTTTCTTATATGGGTGTTAGATTTTCTCCATTTGTTCTGTTTATGATGTTTTTCCTCTACTAATGCTCAAAGTGCACACTTTCTAAATTCTGGATATCAAAGTTGAATTCATTACCATAGTATTCATGAAAACTTTAGAATTCTTGAGGGAGAAAAAGAATTTTCATCATGTAAAAAATGATGAAGGCAAGACCAAATATATGTCTAGAAATCAAGAAAATATAGAAAATTAAATTTTTGGACAAATGTGGAATTGGCAAATGTACCATTTACAAAAGCAGTATTTGAAACATTTTTTTAATAATTAAATCCAGTATTTATTCAGCCTTATTAAATGAAGTTGTTAAAAATGGATGGAAAAGCTTAGAAGCATATTTAGAACCTGTACAAGGTAATTCATACAAAGAAGCATAAAAATCTCCATGAACTTATAAACCAAGTTAAGATAAGAAGTCAAAATACATTATTTATTAAATAGTTCAAAAGTTAAAGGTTAATGTGCAATATAAAAAATAACTTGGGTAATCAATATTATAAATAAAGGTAAACTTTGCTATTTACATTTTCAATTAGATACTGATAATAAATATTAAAAGCCCAAATAGGAGTGTCTAATAACCTTTGATTATAAGATTGCCCCCAGCCTCATTACATAGTTAATAAGCTTATTGAAAGTTATGGTAAATTTTTAACATATATTTTCTATGAAAAAAAATTTAGTATATTGTTTTTTATGATATATAAACTTATTTTAAGATAGCATTTTTTAAAAAAATTCTTCTTCTTTTTCTTCAGCTTTTAAATTTCTATTGCACTTGGAGGAAAAACTTTGGAAATATTTAAAGTCTAAATCCAAAAACAAAATGATTCTTCAAATGAAAAAGAAGATAACCAAATGTCCAAAGACAAAATACAAATAAAGATCTAAACCTCTTAAAAATATTCAAGAAAATAATAATTCAGATTGAATCAAGGGATGGATTATGGTGTATGAAATGCTAGAACAAAGGTCACATTGCTACAAAATGTAATTTGCAAGTTCCTAAAGGCTAAATATGGTTGCTCAATTTGATAACACATCTAATTGGACTCAAGAAAATAGATGGCAATATGATCAACCATAACAAAACCAACAAAGTGATAGCAAAATTAACAATACAATCCTTATCCAAGATATCATGAGAACTATAATTATGGCTATCCAAACAACCACAACCTTATCAACCACTATATCAACAACCTTATTAACAACTATTATATCAATTATTATATTAATAAAATTATAAAATAATCATTATAAAGACCACCTTTGCAACAAAACAATTACAGTCTTATAATAAAACCCTCAATCTCAAACTTATTAATGACATAACTATCAACTTCATAGAACTGAAAATAATAATATTAATAACCACTAAACCAAGATAGTAGACCTCCAAAAAACAACCAATCTAACCATAGACAACCTCTTATAGTAAGATATTAAGGAATAAGAACCCATAGAAAACAAACTTGTAGTGTGCGTAATCATAAAAGAACAAAGTAAATATCAATTTATAGATGGTGAAGATAATAGCAAAAAATAAAATAAATAAAAAAAATATCAATGAATGATCTTGTCTCATAAATCTGATAAAATTTATAACAAAAGCCAGAAGTTGATATTAATCAGATTTTACCACCACAAACACAACTTTAAGATTTCAAAAAAGGCCTGCATGAAATTACCTTAAACCAGATCCCCTAATAAGGTGTTACCATTTTTCTTCAGCAACTATTCCAAATAGCTCCATACTTATGTAAATAATTACTCAAGATTTATTAATCGTTTTCAACTCTAACATAAGAACGAAATGACACCCACTCTATCAACTTAACATCCAACCTCTATAATAGAGGTTAAAGACTATGATAGTGACTATGTGTCCTAATTGAGATAGTAAGAACAAAATTCAAAATAGTTCTAATGACCAAAATAGTGAGGTGTCAATATCATTGAATACTCACTCTGAAAAGCAATAGGATTATGATTAATACAACTAGTAC